CATCCCAGCTTCCCTGGGATGAAGCTGTCTTAGTAATGGTGAATGATCTTTCTGATATATTGTTGGATTCCGTTCACCATTATTTTATTGAGGATTTTAGCATTGATGTTTATTAAGGAAGTTGTCCTGTAATTCTCCTTTTTGGATTTTCCATGTCCAGATTTGGGATGAGTGTAATACTGGCTTCATAGAATGTGTTAGGTAGTGTTCCTTCCCTTTCTATTTCATGAAAAAGTTTAAGGAGTGTTGGTGTTGATCTTCTTTGAAATTCTGGTAGAATTCAGCTGAGAATCCATCAGATTCTGGATTTTTCTTTTATGGAAGACTTTATTGCTGCTTCAATTTCATTACATGTTATAGATCTGTTTAGGTGTTTAATATCTTCTTGGTTCAAGTTTGGATGGTCGTAAGTATCCAGAAATTTGTCCATTTCTTCAAGATTTTCCAATTTATTTGAATATAAGTTCTCAAAGTAGTCCCTGATGATTCACTGGATATCTGTGGTGTTTGCTGTTATCTCCCCTTTATCATTTCTGATTTTACTAATTTGGGTCTTTTCCAATCTCATTTTAGTCAGATTTGCCAGGGGTTTGTCAATCTTGTTAATTTTTTCAAAGAACCAGCTTTTTGTTTCATTGATTCTTTGTATTTTTTTTTTGTCTCTACTTCATTAATTTCAGCCCTTATTTTTATTATTTCTCTCCTTCTACTTGTTTTGGGTTTTGCTTGTTCTTGTATTTTTACTATTTTGAGATGTAGCAGGAGGTAATTTATTTGAGATCTTTCAGTCTTTTTAATATATGCATTCACAGCTGTAAACTTTCCTTTTAGGATTGACTTTGCTGTGTACCATAGGTTCTGGTATGTGTCATTTTCATTTTCATTAGCTTCTAGGAACCTTTTAATTTTCTCTCTTATTTCTTCTATGACCCACTGATTGTTGAGCAATGTGTTATTCAGTCTCCAATTATTTGTGGTTTTTTTGCTGTTGTTTTTGTTATTGAGTCCAAGTTTTAATGCATTGTGACCAGATAGAATGCAGAGGGTTATTTCTATTTTCTTATATTTGCTGAGGCTTGCTTTGTGCCATAAGACATGATCTATTTTGCAGAAAGTTCTATGGTCTGCTGAGAAGGATGTATATTGCACTGTTGCCAGATGAAATATTCTATAGACATCATTAGGTCCATTTGATCTATGGTGTCATTTAGTTCTAGGATTTCTTTGTTGATGTTTTTGTTTGGATGACCTATTTATTGGTGATAGAGGGGTATTAAAGTCTCCCACTACACTGTGCATAGCACTGAGTTTATATGTGTTTTTAAGTCCATTAGAGTATGTTTGATGAAATTGGACACATATAGGTCAATAATTGTTATTTCCTTTTGGTGTATTTTCCCTTTTATTAGCATAAAGTTTCCGTCTCCATCTCATTTGGTCAATGTAAGTTTGAAGTCTACTTTGTCTGAGATAAGTGTTGGTACTTCCATCTGATTTCAGGGGCCATTGGCTTGGTAAATCTTCTTCTAGTCTTTCACCCTAAGCCAGTGTTTATTTCTGTCAATGAGATGGGTCTTTTGTAAACAAAAGATTGTTGGATCTTCCTTTTTTAATCCAGGTTGCCAAATGGTGTTTTTTGATAAGGGAGTTGAGTTCATTGACATTCCGTGTTAATATTGATAGAATGTGATGATTCCTGCCTTCTAGTTGATTTTGTTGTTTACAGATTTAATTGTGTGCAGCCAAATCAGTGCTACTCTCTGATTACTTGTCTTATCTTCTCCTGTGTTTTGATATTCCCTGTTGTCCTGTGGTTTTGTTTGCTTTAATTTTCTGTATGCAGAATACCTTGTGGAATCTTCTGTAGTGGTGACCTGGTGGTCATATATTGTTTTAGTTTTTGTTTATAATAGAAGATTTTTATTGCTCTGTCAATTTTGAATGATAGTTTTGCTGGATAGAGCATCCTGTATCTGAAGTTGTTTTCATTCAGTGCCCCAAATACCTCATTCTATTCCCTTCTTGCTTTTAATGTTTCTATTGAGAAATTTGCTGGTATTTTGATGGCTTTACCTTTATATGTTTTTTATTTTTTCTCTCATACAGCCTTTAGTATTTTTTTTTTCTGTTCTCTGGGCTTGTTTTAATGATAATATGCTGTGGAGAGGTTCTATTTTTGTCAAGTTTGTTTGGTGTCCTGGAGGTTTCCTGTATCTGAATGGGCAAAACTTTCTCAAGAGTTTGGAAATTTTCTGATATTATTTTATTGAATATATTACATATTCCTTTGGCTTACACCAAAGGAGAAGGGGCAGAAAGAGTAGTTGCGAAGGAGAACAATGGACCATAGCACAGGAGAAGGAGGGAAAGTAAAGAGTGTAAGAATAGGGATAAAAGAGTAGTGATGGTGAAGTAATAATACAGGAAAAAAAAAAAAAAACTCAATAAAAAGCACCAGGTTTAGGAACCACAAAAAGCTCTGTCTTTTGGTAAAAGTTCCAGAGTTATTCCTTAGGTAAATCCTGGTATTGGCTTACAAGCAGAATCTCTGATGTGGTCTTACTGGCTGACTGGTTGTGAGTAGTATTTGGTCCTTCTGTTCACAAGATTAGTTGTAATTGTGAGGTGAGGTAAGACTGCCAGCTCATGCAGGATAGTCAGAGCTTTTGCTTTCACCAAACGGCAGCATTGTGTTGCCCCTTTGGTACAATTCTGTTTGGTCAGCTCCTCTCCCAGCAAGGTGGTACAATTTAGGTTTTTTTTTAATTTCTTTTATTCATATGTGCATACAATGTTTGGGTCATTTCTCCCCCCTTCCCCCCTTCCCTTCCCCCCCCCACTGCCCCCTCCTTCTCCCTCCCTACCAGGCAGAAACTATTTTGCCCGTATCTCTGATTTTGTTGAAGAGAGAGTATAATCAATAATAGGAAGGACCAAGTTTTTGCTAGTTGAGATAAAGATCACTATACAGGGAGTTTACTCGCATTGCTTTCCTGTACATATATGTTACATTCTAAATTAATTCTTCTCGAACTAACCTTTTCTCTATTTCCTGGTCTCCTTCTCCTATTGGTCTGTGTTGCTTTAAAGTTTCTGCATTAGTTCCTTTGCATTAAGGATATCAAATGTTATCTTGGGTTTTTTTGGGGGGGATTTCTTGCCTATCCTCATACCTCCCTTGTGTGCTCTCACCTCGTCATGTGATCAAAGTCCAATCTGCTTGTTGTGTCAGTTTTGAATGCTGCCTTCCATCCCAGAGATCAGCTTTGGGATCCACCACCTGCCCTGCTTTGGGGTTTGCCCTGTTGCTCCACCCCTGCTCTTAGCCTTTATGCCTCTGCCAATCTCTACTGGGTGGTAGTGGATCCTCTGGGAAGTTGGCTTGTTACCCCACCCCCACTCTCAGCCTTTGCTGCTTTTCCCACATTTTACTGAAAGTTCATGCTGAGAATTCCTTGCCCCACCCATGTTCTCCAGAGCAGGTTCAGCATTCCACCCTCACCTCCCTTGTTGGTGTTAGATTACAGTTTGCTATTTCAGTTTTGCTGCAGGGGCTTCAGTCTGCCCAGGGGTTGTGCTGGGTTATTTTTGTGGGTAGTGAAATTGCCAATGGTGTGTGATGCTCACCTGTTCATTCGATAGTTTCACACAAGTAGATTTGGAGCCAGCCAGCAAGGAGAAATGGTGCTGGTTTTTTCAGTGTGGCGGCATAGGGAGGCTTTCCAAGGCTAAGGGTCTGGGATGTCACAGAGTTTGATTCTGATTGATGCTCTGTCTTCTACTTCTTGGGAGAAAAAAAAAAAAAGGAGAAATGGCTGGGTATGCTTTTTTCCCCCAGGGTGGGACATACCTTGCCGGATGTGCAGCACAGGATTTTTGTGGCTGATAGGTGCAATTAAAGGCTGCTTTGAGGGTCAGTCTTTGAATTTTATCTGCACCTATTGTGATGGTGGTTATTGTTTTGGCTAGAAGCATTCACAATTACCCAAGTGTAGCTCTGACGTGTCAAGGTGGTTTCTGGTGCCACGAGATTACGATTTCTGATTCCCTGCACTAGCTGCCATCTTGATTCAAGTAAATCATTTTTGATGATTGCATTTTGTTGTGTGTTGGTGGGTAGTTTGGGATATATATTATATGTTTCCAAATATAGAATCTATAATGTATCATAAGGGAAAATATGTAGATTTTGTCCAATCTTCAACCACTTTGAGGGCATCATAGGACCCATTAATTAGCATCCTTACTATACTAAAAATTTAATAGCAAATACCCTCCCTTCAGATTGATCTCTTCTTTTTTTTTAAAACTGCTTCATATACATGAGCTCACTAACAATGTTTTAAAGCTAAATGTGAATAAAAGACTGGGACTGGCTCTTAACCCACAGCTGACAAAAGACAAAGTCATTCAGACCTCTGCAGCCAGAGCTCTTGTGTAAAGTGAGGCATATGCAAGTCATGCACAAAACGTAATTATTCAGCCAAGATTAAGCTTTGCCTTTAATTAGATATGATTGTGTTTTTAAAGAAATAACATTTAACATAGCTTTAAAATATATACTTGTTTTGCACATGTACTAGAACTAATCAATGAATATTTTTCATAAAATTATAGAATCTACTCTTTCCCTTTTCCAAGAGTTGCATTTTTTGAAAAACTACTCATTCTCAAATTTATTCTTAGTTTTCTGTATGTGTGTGTTATACCTGTACATTTGTACATATATATATACGCATATTTGTATATATCTGCAAACTCATATATATATCTATATATTTGTGTATGTACATATGCATTCATACATACAGACTCATTCGCAATATATATATGAATATTTAAATGATCAGCTGTGTATTTATATTTATATATATATATATAGTGTAGCATCTTTATAATGTTTCAGTTATCTTGTCCATAAAAATAGCAAGTATCTATTATTGGTAGTATACAGGTTCTCAGGCTTTAAACATAAATTTTAATTTTTGTTTCTAAACTAGAGAATACTATATCACCATGGTGAAATGGGTGAGCAACACTAAGACAGTGGTAAGGTGGCTCAATCGACCTCAAAACATCTCCATCCTCACAGTCTGTGAGACAACCACTGGAGCTTGTAGTAGAGTGAGTATGATTCACTTTTCTTTTATGCTTAAGATGAAGTAGGTTATTATTTCTTACAAAAGAAAGTTGGGTAATATTTTGTATAGAGTGTTCAATATTGAACTTCCAAAAGTAGAAGAAAAAAAATTCATCGTATTTAAAGAAATATTTTAATCCATAAAGCTCCCAAACTTTGAAGTAAGCAGCTTCAATAATAATCAAATGAGAAGTAATACTCAATTTTTAAAAAATAAATTAGTTCTTATGCAACATAAAGGGCATTTTATGCCAAATTAATTTCATTAAAAATACGGCATTTCTCTCCATGTTTTGTCATTGATTAAGTTAGATTATCGGAAGACGGGTTTCTTCTTTCTTTAAAGAGATTATTTCTGTATTCAGGTTAGTCTTATAATAATGTTTCAATCCTTTAGTTAAATAAGAATAGACAAGAGAATGGCTCTTGACCCATTCTTTTATGAAAGTACGTTGTATTTCAACTTCTAAAATAAGTTTTAATAAATTATGCACTAAATTCAATATATGCCATTTTTTAAGATCCTTGGCAGGGCAAATTGGCTAATCATTTTAATTATTGCATCATGTGTTTGGTAATTTGGCAAAGGATTAATGTATTATTTAATAACTAATCTTCCAAACCTCTGCTCTGAAGAAGATGTACTGAACATTGAGATACTAGTGTTTCTCCTGCAAGCCACTATAGAACTAATGCATATATATATATATGTTTTATATATATATAAAACAACTTATTTCAGTTGCTGTAGTTATTGGATAATAGGAGAACAAGATGACAGGCAAGTGCCCTATTATTGAATTACATCTTCTGATCGCTAAGATCGCTAAGGCAACTTTGGTAAGACCACCATTCAAGGAGATGATGTCCAAGCGAATTACAGTGGTCTCACTAATCCAAGTAATCATCAAGAATCAGAATCAGAGTTTGAATATCTTCTGGTGATGGGATTTATAAAACAAGTACCCCAGAATTTGGAATTATATATAAAGGAACTCCAATCTATACTGAAGATCCCTTAAGACTTTGGCTCAATGCTGAGTTGGGTGTGCACATAACATTGCCTTAGAGAAAACAATTACTGTGTGAGGAATGAAGAGACTGTTACTTCACAGTGTTCAGAGCCATTGAAATTCTATAGAGCAAATGTGAAGCTATACCACTAAACCTCTGAGCACTCAACTAAGAGCCAAGAAATAAAGCATGTTTAGAATAGGCCTTTCTAGTCTCCTTCCAATAAACCTTTAAATGAAATCTTGAAGAGACCAAGTTCATCTCTTTTTAAATTAACTATCAACCAGAGCAAAATTTAAACTTTTAATAGAAAATTAAGATAATGTGATCATCAACAATATAGTATTTATATAAGTCACACAATCGAAACACACTATGTATTCAGAGAAGTACAAAACACAACACCTCCTTCAAAACTAGTTAGTAGAAGTGGAACCAATTACAATGATATTGGATGTAGCAGGCATACAACTTTGTAGAAGCTTTTAGACAGGTATTTAAAATTTTAAAGAATGGTCATAATAAATAAGCAGTTGAGAAATTTCCACAGAGAAATACAAATGTTAAGGAAGAACAACGGAATGTTAGGAACAGAAAAATATAGTGTTTGAAATGAAAGATTGACTGGACGGGCTTAAAAACTCATTAGACCCTTGTAAGGGGGATCGAAACAGTCACAATTGAACTGCAGATAGAAAAAAAATGTGTGAAGAGTTGATAAAGTCTTAATTGTATGAAGAACACTATGAACTGGTGGTATATGTGAAATTATATCTATAGAAATTAGAGTTTTCACTACTGGGGGAGGAAAAAATTTAAAAAACAGTAACTTAAAATTTCTCAAAAAGATTTAAAAAAACGCACTATCCAAAAAGTTGGCAAATCTAAAACAGGGTAAAGACAAGAAACAGTTTCTAGACATCTCATAGTGAAGTTGTTGCAAGTAGAAGGTTAATCTGAAACTGGAAAGCACACTGAGTTAAAAACCACATTACATACTGAGGGATATAATGACAAATAGCTGTCAATGTCACACCAGAAAAAATGTAAGCCAGAAAGCAGTAGAATGACATGTTTTAAGTAAATGAATGGAAAACCATGTCAGATATTTTCTAGATTTAATTTTTCAAAAAAGTGACTAATAACTTAAGTGAATTAAAACTGTATATTTTTGTTAAGCAAAGTAAAGCAATATGCATAGACCAGAGATTAGTACAGTCATTCAATAATGACAGAGTATTAATAAATTGGGAATATATAACAATTCTAAACATCTATGCACCTAATATCAAAGCTTCTAAATAATGATGATTTATATGCAAAATCTGGCAAAACTAAAGAAATAGATATAATTATATTGAGGGCTTTAGTATTTCTTTCCATATATTTGATGAAATTACTCAAAAACATCAGTAAATATATAGAACATTTGGATAACAGCATAAAAATGGGTAGTTAGAATACTTTTTTTTTTTTTTGCAGAGGTTGGAAAGATTTTATTTGTAGAGAATTTAGTTGGAGAAAAGAGAAGAGAAAGACTGCATATTGGAGAAGCAGGGGGACCCGGAAACTGGTGATCCCATTAGAATACATTTTATCTAACAACAGCAACATGAATAACCTTTTCAAGTACAGAAATACTCAACTTGAAATTAGAGTATTTCATTTCAATTCAAGGATGTTAAATTAGATATATGTGGTAAATCATCAGATATTTTTAAATTTTAAAAAACCCACACTTTTGGCTGGACATGTTGGTTCATATTTGGAATCCCTGACACAGGAAGATCACAAGTGAAGCCAGCTTGGGATACACAGTGAAGCCCAGTCTCAAAAAATCTAGAAACACCCCAAAATGTCACAATTGGGTGAATTAAAAAAGAGACAGAAAAAAGTATACTCACAAATAACAAATGAGTTAAAGAATTAATCAAGGAGAAATGAAAAGCTATTTTAAACTCATACATAATGAAAACACATGCCAAAATATAGCCATCAATGTATGAAAAGATATAGTCAATATATGAATAGATAAATGAATAGAAATTACACTTTATATTCACAATAGTCTCCTATGTAGCCTGAAAAGAAAAGGAAATTCTTCCATTTGCAACAGTATTTTAAGTGAAATAAGTCAGGCATGGAAAGACAAATAGTGCATGATCCACTTATATTTGGAATCTATAAAACTAATACGGTAGGAAAGAGTAGACAGGTGTTTATCAGAGGCTAAGGTGGGGTTGGAAGATGTTGGTCAAAGGGTACAAAGTGTCAATTATGTGGAGGGAATTAATTTTTAAGATTTGCTGCAGAGAATGGTGACTATAATTAATTATAATGTAATATATACTTTAAAAGTGCTAGCAGAGTAGATTATAAATGATAAATGTTTGTTTAATGAAAAGATAAGTAGATGAGGTGATAGATGTGTAAATTAACTTCATTTAGTCATTCTTTACTATGTACATAAATCAATTATATCACATTTTACTCGATAAATATAAATAGTTGTTGTTTCTCAACTGAAAGATAAGAAAGAAAAATATTACAAAAGAAAATGATAGGGGCAAGGGGAAGAAATGACCCAAACAAAGTATACACATATGAATAAATGAATAAAAAAGAAAATGATATAAAATTCATAACAAACTCTAACTTATGTAGCAGAAAAAGTATAAATTTAGTCAAAATAATTAAAGGGAATTGAATAATAAAGATAAGAGCATAAATTAATAAAGCAGAAAATAAATTTTAGAGAGAAGGAAAGAAAAAATTGTTTTGTGAAAAGAGTAATAAAATTGATAAATCATTACTTGTACTGATAAAGAAATCACAAATTATCAGTATTAAGAGTGAAACAGGCACCAATGGTAAGAGTCTATAAATATTAATATAAGGGAATAGTATGATAATAAATTCTCAAATAGATGACATGGAAAATATTTTTGAAAGTTGACATATTAAAAGGAAGACTATTTGAAGAAATTTATACCCTAGCCCCCAATTAAAGAAATGTAATTGATAATCCTAATTTAATTCAAACCTTCTGACCAAGAAAACTCCAGAACCAAATGGTTTCATTGATAAATTCCATCAAATACGTAAGGAATAAATGCTTTCATTCCTTATGTTAGACTATTACGTGCTGCAATAGCATAATAACATATAAGGGGTATTTTCTACTGAGCAGCTCTATACTGGCTCACAGTTCTGGGTTGCCCAGAATCTAGCCCAAGATTGAGAGGCTAGCAACTGGAGAGGTCCCTCATGTCACATCATCCAGGAACACACTCACATTAAAGCACTAATCCTTACATGCATTGGAGACTCCATGGCCTAATTGCCATTTAAAGGTCTCACCTCTTAATACTAGTCTATTGGCAAACAAATTTCAATGTGATTTTGAGAAAGAACGACCACACAAATCATAGCATCACTACAAGGAATCAAGGAAACCATTCATAAACCCCTTAAAAACAAAGAAGCAAAAACATTTTCAATTCACTTTGTAAGAGTAAGATAATACAAACATCAAACTAGACAAGATTATAGCAAGAAAGAACATTTTAAACTGATATTTTTCTTGAACATCCATAAAAATATTCTTAGGCACATTAATGCTCTACCTCAGCAATATCAATAGAAGACAGTGTCTTGATTAAAGGTGGTTTATCTAAGACCTTTAAGATTGGTTTAATCTTGAAAATCAAGTGATGTAATCTATTATAAGATAAAAAGAAGAAAAATAATTATTATACCTTTTAATAGATGAAGAAAAAACAATCTACAAAATTTCATACCCATTTATGATCACATTCTATATAAATGTGTAGAAAAAATAGCCCCATTTTGATAAAGGATATCCCTCATATCCCCACACTCAGTGGGGGAAACATGGACCTCATTCTCATTAAGATCAGCAATAAGTTAGGAATATCCATTCCCCACTACCACTATGCAAACTTTACTGAAGGTCCTACTGACCAGAACTCTTCAGAAATAAATGTCACAATATTTGAAAAAGAAGTGAAGTTGTATTTATTTTCAGATGACACATTTTATGCACATGAAGGCAAGAAATTTACAAATAATCTAGAATAAAACTCAGAATTTATAACATCTATATAATTTTTTTTTATTTTTGGCAAACTGGGTTTGAACTTCATGCTTTATGTTTGCTAGACAAGAGACTGTCCACTTGAGCTAGGCTTCCAGCCCTCCAACATCAATTTTGTGTTCATTTTCCTGATTTTGATCATTTTATTGTGATTCTGTGGGAGATTTTCATTTTTGCAGTACAAGTTCACTAACAAGTTTAAGGGTAAATGGTGCAATGTCTTCAACTTGCTGTCAAATTGATTTTTTGTAAAGCAAATGCCAACTTTTCTTTGATTGCTTTAAAATTGTACTTCTGCCTTGTCCAATGATTTAGAAACTGAAGAAAGAGGCAATAATAGAACAAGGGGAACAAAATGCAAACAAGTGACAAATATGTCCAAAGGGTCTACAGAATTTTCTTGAACTGGCTTTATATCTTCTCTAAGTATATACTTATTTAAAAATAAAGAAAAAAAAATAAAGAATTTAGAGAAACATATCTTACATCTTAGCCTTCTAATACCATTACTATAAAGTAATATATCTTATAGTAATGATATTAGAAGGCTAGGCTAAAATACCATTAAAAACTTTAAGACATTAAATATGTAAATATAAATTTAACAAATATTGTATAAAATCTTAAAATTGAATACTACAGTAATACTAGAAGGCATTTCAAAAAATCTAAATCAATGAAAGCTATTCCATATTCTTAATTAAAGGGTCTAATATGCATATCAGTTCTACTCAATATGAACTAGAATTTCAATATAGTTTGAGTTGATGTCTCCTCAGATCCTCTTTATTGGAAAATTAGCTTGTTTTATAATTTATAGGGAAATTCAAACACATGCACAGCAAAATCATCTTATAAAAGAAAAAAGTTAGAGGAGTTTATACTACCTGTCCTCAAGAATAACTGGAAAGCTACAGAAGCTGAGAAGGTTCAGGGATGGGGAAAGAGGTGAGCTAAAATGAATGGTTAGCAGGAAATAGGAACACATGTATGTGATGAGTTGATTTTCAACATAGATGCTAAAAAGATTCAATAGGGGAAAACAGTGCTAGAACAATTAGTATCCAAATGGGAAAATAACTCTTAACATCTATTTCAGATCAATTCTAAAGTCAGTTTGAGATAAATCACAATCCTAAATATAAATTACAATACTGTCAATCTTCAAGAGAAAAAATATGGAAAATAACTTCACTATATTGAATAGGTCAAAAATCACTAATCAAGAAACTAAACACATGAATCTCATCAAAGTTACAAACATTTCATCAAAGGCACTATTAAGGAAATAGATAGGTAGACCAAAAACTCAATGAAAATATTTTTCAAGATGTATCTAAGAAATATCTAAGGAGCTGTTTGGTGATACATGCCTTTAATCCCAGCTACATGAGAGGTAGAAGTAGGAGGATCATGTATTTGGGACTACAGTGGGCAAAAGCTGTCAAGACTGTATCTCAAAAATGCAGTAAAGAACAAAAGGGCTAAGGTTATTGTTTCAGTGGTAGAACACTTCCCTAATGATCCTAAGATGCTGGGTTCAATATCCATTACTGAATAAATAAATAACCTAAGTAAATCTTACATATCAATAAAAGCCAATAGAAAGGTCAAAGCATATGAACAAATTCTCAAAAGAAGATAATAAGCACATGATAATTTATTCAACATAATTATATTTTAGGGAACTGTACATTAAAATCGCAATGTGATAATGTTATATAGCATTAGAATGACGATGATCGTGCTCACACTGTAATCCTACTTACTTGGGAGGCTGAAATTGGGAAGATCAAGTTTCATGGCCAGCCCATGCAAATATTTCACAAAATCCCCATTCCAAAATAACCTGAGTAAAATGGACTGGACATCTGACTCAAGGCGTAGAGTGCCTGCTTTGCAAGCGTGAGACCCTGAGTTCAAACCCCAGGCTCACTGCCCCACCCCCCATAAAAAGAAAAACAATAGAGAGAGACTCTACCTGTTTAGGAGGACCTGGAAAATGAAAATTCTCATTCTTTGCAGGTGGGAGTATAAAATAACAAAATTACTTTAAAAATAATTTAAATTAAGTATATATAAACAGAGTATGTATAATGTTATTTTTATACATATAAACATACTTGGTAATTCCATTCCTAGGTATCTCCACAACAATTAAAACCTGTCTACTAAAAAATCTGAAGAAAAAAAAAATCTTTAGAAAAAAATCTTTATTCACAATAACTAAAACTGGCAACTATTCAATTATCATTAATAGGAAGTGGATTTTAAAACCATAGCATGTCTGTACAATGGGATTCCACTCAGTAATTTAAAAAGAAATGGAAATATCCCACCAATACACTCCACAATATGCATGAGCCTTCAAAATATGGAATGAGAAAGAAACTCACACAGAGAACATAATGCCCTCATAATGCATAATTTAAAATTTCTGAATTTCTAAATAAAAACTCATCTATAGGGAAAAGATCAGAAGTGTTTTCCTTTTAGAAACATCTGGGAAGGGGAATGTTTTGAGGAGTTATAAAACTCCTATGTTTTTAGTACATTTTATCACATTAGACACTTAAGAACTGTGCATTTCACTATTGTGAACATTTTTAAAATGTACTTTTTAAATAGTCTGAGAAAGAGAGAAATAAAGAGCAGAATGGAACGATGAGCATAGAAGTGAAGATGAGACCATCAAGCCAAGCATTACTGACTGGGTTTGACTGAAGCATCTAACATTAGGGTTATGATATTTGAAAATTTATCTCAGTCATCCTCTTTCATCTGCTTATATTATAGACTGACATGAAATTCTCCATGTATGTGATAAAGTGTTCTAGTTGGTTTCTTATTAAACTGGTTACTAAGTCATGTTAAATTTGGCCTACACAGAGTGGCAGTTATAGCTAGGTGATAGGGACTTGCCTACCATGTGTGAGGCCCTTGTTTAATCACCAGCACCACAAAAAAGGCCTATGGACAGACTGTTACCATCTCTATACAAGGATAATTTAAATATTTTCATTATGTGTAGCTAACTATAAGGGTAAATTGAAATGTTACAGTAAGAAAAGAGATATCTGAGTTCTATCTTATTGTTCATCTAACTACTTATTCATATTCTCTTATAATCCTATGTAATATTTAGAGTTAAATGAGTTTATTTTCAGTTAACTGAAATTAAAAAAATAATAATAGAATGTGAAAATTTTGAACTCTAATGGGTCCTAAGCTAAGAGGGTGACACTATAAGCAGTGGCATCACTATCTATTTTATGCCTATGTTGTTGAGGTACCAAGAATTGTTTTTCCTGCGATACAAGCAGAGAATCAAGGAATGACTTAGATGTTTTCCTGGTCGTTACATTGTAGTGACGCGCTACTGAAAAAAATGTCCGGAAAAGAGAGTTATTTTATAAAATAACAATAGTATGTGTCTAGACAGGGAAAGTGATATAAAAATTTTAACAATTTGAAATTAGTACTTCTACATATAGGACAATACCTAATGTATAGTACTTAGTTTTATTGATTTGAATACTTTTAATATAGAATTATTTCTTTCAAAAACCTGTAAGATATTTCTTGTCATTACACAGAAACATTATTACCAAAATATTTTATCTCTATATATTAAACGGGAGATTTGTCAAATTTTGCTTTTTGCAATATGATTTTGGTTCTGACCATTTCAAATGTTTGCCATTTTTCCTAAGACAAAAGTACTACTAATATCAAAAATGGCTATAATTTAGAGTAGATTGAATATTAAAATAATGTTCATTTTTAAATTTTATTCCTGGCTGTTTGCCCAGTTCCACTGGAGACTTAATAATTTTGTTTCCTGATGATGCCTAGAGGTGAAAAGAGACAGCGTCTGGTGATGCAAAACAATTTGAATGAGGTAATCAAACAGAGCTGGAAAATGATCTTCTATCCCTGGTGACATTCTGCTGGGGACTCAGAAGGAGTTATTCCTCCCCCAAAAAAAGATATTATAATTAAATTATCATTTACTACTACTTCCTAATTTTTATTCACTTTAAAGTAACAATGACATTGGGAATTCTCATGGTATTTCACTAGTTGAAGAAAGGGGGAATATCTGAAGATAACATTGTAGAAAAGGTTAAATTGATGTTTGCTCATTTTGGACTTAGGTGAACTTTATTGTTTTGTTTCAGAAATATGAGATGACATCTGACACCTGGATCTCTAAACAGGTATAGTATGGGTGATCTCTGTCCCATTTTGGCCATTGTCACCATTCTATTCAACCACTTTTTATACAAAGACATAAAAAGTTATTTCTGCAATAGAGTTTTAAGGTATTGGTAGGTTTGACAAAAAGTGGTTCTTTTGCATTAAAATATTAAGTCTGGCATGGTCGTTCATATGTATAATCCCAGCATTCTGGAGGCAGCAAACTCTCAAATTCCAGATCAAGTTCATGGCCACTTTGTGCTACATAGCAAGACCCTGTCTCAAAATCAACAAACATAAATAAATTTGCTACTTGATCGATTAATTAATTAATTTCTGATTTGGGCTTTTTATGAGATCACTTATGAAAAGGTTGCTTTTGGTTTTAGATGGGATATAAATTTCAGAATAACTACAAAGATTCATTAGTAGGATCACTCAAATGAGCAAACATTTGTGAAGATGAAATTGCAACCCATACAAATTAGAAACTATTTTCATTCTTCAAATTAACAAGAATATCAACAAAGGCTCCACATAAATTGGTCATGTACAGATTGCTCAGATAAACACTTTGTTTTGTTAGATGTTTCCTTTTTTGTGGTGCTGTTTTATATCATAAATTAACCTGGAATCGAGATGAAATACAGTAGAGGAAAAAAATGTTTTTCCACCACATAGTCTCATTCTGGATAATTCAGAAGAAAATGCAAAAAGGTTATCCAGATATGGCTGAATAATTTTCACTATAAACTCCATCACTGTCCCTTGCAAATGGAAGCACTATGTTGCATTGATTTTGATTTATTTTGTTCTTTACAACCCTCTTTTATTTTACATTCTTTTCCTAGGTGTCATGTACATCTATGATTTTAATTACCACCATATATTAAAACTTCCAAATTTATAGCCCCAGGCACTTCTATGACTTCTGAAATATCTAATTTCATGCATTGTATCTTTTCCTAAATCTATAAAAATAACTCATAATCCCTAGGTCCAAACTGAAGACATTTCTTTTCAAAGCAGTCCTATTTCTTTTCATTACAGAACTCAGCCAATAACACAATTGTCCATTTAGCTATCAAAATGATTAACCAGTTCATCCTGAAATCTTTTTTGCCTTATCTGTGTATCTAATTCACCATCAAGTTTTTTTAAGTTTACTTTCCAAGATCAGTCAAATCAATTGAACTTTCTCCAATTTCCAGGTTCAAATTAGAGATACCATATCCTGTCCTTCCTTAACTCAACCCCTCAAGCACCTTCAAGCTGTTCACACTGACAGTGGCTGAGGGATGTTTTTGAGATATACCTTTGATTGTTACTACCAGCATCATCCTCATATTTCTTAGGCAAATACAAACAACTTTTTGTCTCTTCCTTCTGCTCTTCAGATCATAGCCAACATCTTTGTGTTGTCCATAACATATTATATTGAAATTTGTTCCAGCTCTGTGTCATACTATCCTTATAATTATTTTCTCCATTCTAGCCATATTGCCTTCATATGTAAACAGCATGCACCCTTTCTTGTGAATGGAATTCTGTCAACTATTGTCTAAGCTCAAGTCTATTCAGTTTCCAACCCCAGGCTAAATCATCTACTTAAGAAGTTATCTTCTCTTATTCCCTAACCATATCACATCCCCTAATTAAAATTATAATTAAAGTCAAAGGTAACTGTAATATTATAAAAAATAGGTCATGCTAAGGGGAGGTCACATGAAAAAGAGGGAAGCTAAAAGAAGTTAAGAAGGTGAATATGGTTGATGTACTCTTTATACAAGAATCAATATACAATTTTAAACCTGTTGAAACTACCATAAGAAGGAGATTAAGGGTGAAAGAAGAAAAATAGAGGAGATGAACCAATTCATGTTATAATACATATATACATGGAAATGTCACAAGGAATCTCCCTGTATAGCTATCTTAAACAAACAAAAATGTCAAATTGTTTTTCAGAGAGCAGGAGGGTGGAACAGGTCCTGTTTAGGGGAATTGGTACCAGTAGGAGGAGAAGGAGGTGGTGAAAGGTGTAGGAGGGTGCAATTGCTGTGTACACATGTAAGTAAATGGAAAGTGTTACCTGTTGAAACTATTCCAGGAATGCAGGGAGGAGAGATAAAGGAGAGTGGTGGAGCAGGTGAATTCAAGTATGATATATTTTGTAAATGCCACAATGTACCGCAGCATAACAGTAAAAATAAATGAAGTATAAGGGGAAAATTATGTCAAAGTCAAGAGTAGTACTTGCCTAATTTATGTAACACTTAAACAATTATTCCTATGATATCTGTGCTAAAATACAAGTACAGGAAGGATGCTAATTTTTTTTCACTTCATTGTACTCCAAATGCCCACCATAGAATGCAGCCTACAAGAAAAGCTTCATTTTTCTATCAGTTTTATGGCCAGTGATATTCATAAGAGCTTAGCAGGCATCAATATATCTAAATTTAAACCCAAGTTTATGAATGTTTAATAGAAACTTTTCTTTTTCAAAGCAAAGATCCAGTTTTCACTTATTCAGTAAGAAAATGATGATGATAAAAACCATTGATTTTTTTCCATCAGTTCTCAGAAAAGTTTATTAAATGATTACAATTACATGAAATTAAAGGTAGGAGCATGATAGCAACAATGAGAAGTGGAAAATTTTTAAGAAAATAGAAATTATCATTTTCTGTATAATAGGAAGAGCAAAGACAAGTGGTCTTACAATTAGAATGAGCAGTATATGTTTGGTTCAGTATCCTTCAGGGATACTGAAGTCAGCGAAGAATCACTGACTTCATTAAGATCATAAAAGCAATAAGAATGACTCTACCTGTATGGAGCTGAATGTCTCTCACCATATACAGTCTAGTGGTAAAAGTTTGTAAGACCAGAAGATACATTTGAAATTATAGCCCCATCTTTTTTTCTTAATCACTTCTAAGGCACCAGAACTGAAAGATGGTGTCAATGTAAGGGAAAAAAATCTCAGATATCTCCAAACCATACAATAGCTACTTTTATTTTAAGTGAAGCCCAAGGGGAAAATACTAATGGAGAAGGAGCCAATGTATGGAGGAAATGTGTTTTGGTAAAGTGATATATATATCTATCTATATATATAGATAGATATATATATCTCCATAGCATATGCATGCATACATTCATCTATTCCACAATTATGAATAGGACACCTAGTGTCTTCTAGGCAATAGAGTTAAACAGATGAAATTGGAAATTAGTTTAATTATTAATTACCTAGAAAAGTAAGCCAATGTATCAGTAGATCAATACAATTGAGTGCATCAAAAGACATAGTACAGGCAAATACAGAGTACATTTTAGGCTGAGGAGAACTTAGCTAAGAGAGATTCCATAACTAAGGAAAATTGAAAATGGTTTACGTCTCAAAAGATTAAGTTAAAATGACTAATAATTAGCTTAAAATAAAACAGGTTTTTCCATATAGAAGATGCTCCATGTGCAAAGGTAAATATAAAAATATCCTAGGGGAGTAGGAGATAGAAAAAATAGTTATTGCCACCATCATAGTTGAAAAATGGCATTCGCTCAGCCAAGCATTTTTTTTGTGTCTCTATGTGCCCATTTATGCAATTTCCCAACTTTGAATTATATATTACTTCAGAGTCTTTAATTTATTATATATATAATCTTATATTTTTCATTAATGCCCATGAAGTAGATGCAGAAAATATTATCTTTATATTGTCATTAAGAGATGTTGTATTAATGAAGCTAAAATTAGACTCTAATTAAAATAGTTTTAATCAACTTATTCATATTCAGTACATAATTATTGAACACAATTTCCAGAACAGTCACTGTTCCAGATGCTAGAGCAATATCAGTAAAGAATAACAAGGTTCCTGCCTCACCCTACTCACATTTTAGAGGAATACTACACATATATGAGCATTCATGCATTCTTGCATTCACACATAAACAAACACATACAAACACATAAAACAAATCCAAATGCATATGTATATACATACACACCCATATGCATATACAAAAACAGTATATATATATATATATATATATATATATATATATACACGCATATAGTGTGTATATTTATACATATAAATATATATAGTGGTGTTGAGTGCTGAAAAAAATAGAAAGTGAGTAAAAGAGGATGAAGATTGTCAGGTACTGGATGACCTGGCTTTTCTGGTTACATTTTACATTGGGCAATCAGGAAATCACTCATTGGTAAGGTGACACTTGAGCAGAGACATGAAGGATATAAGAGCATGAGATCCACAAAGGTAATAAAATGTGGAAAGCAGGAACATGCAGGGATCCGGGAGGGAACAGGAGAAGAATAAAAGACTAGAAAGAGAGAAGCAGTCCAGTTCAGCTAACAGGGCTGGAAGGCCATTTTAAAGATTTACAGAGGAAGCTATATCAAAGCATATATATAACCACTCTCATTTATCTGGAAGGAAAGAATTTAATGTTGTATCAGATTAATCTGTTTTCTTAACATTTTCCTTAAAATAGGAAAAAACAATATATATATATATATAATATATATGTTTTCTATCATTTAATTTTCAAAAACAATTGTATTTATTTAATATGCCACTACAGTTTAATTAGAAATTATCAGTTGGGATTCACAGTTGTGAAGGGGCATTTTTTTGTGTGTTTTTATGGATGGATGAGCATTGAGAATAGGGAAATTGAATTAAACAGGTCTTCAATAACTCCTAATTTTGTGGCCCAAATTGTATTTTTAGTAAATTTTGTGTACACTATCACAAATGAATCAAGTAAGTAAAGTTACTGAGTAAAAGAGTTAAGAAAAATGTGCTAACTGTAAGTTATGGAATTTTATAATTTTCGTGTGTAATAATTAAAAAATTTTGGATAGTTGGTGCAGATATTCACATTTTCCTTTTCTTTGAAGAATATATTGCAATATCTCATGTAAAGAGAAGAAAGTTTTTGTGTGAATTAATTTAAAACATGTCTTTAGTCTAATTTTCAAATCCCTATCTACTATGTACAAAGCTTCTCCATTCTTCCCACCATGCACATACATGCACACAATTTTTAACATTAAGTTCCTTTAAAATATCAAATATAATATTTTTAAAACAATTTAACCATTTGCCAAACTAATTCTAAATCAATTTTTTTTTGCCTTAGTAGTAGAAGACAGCAAAAATTGCACATGCCATTTTGAGATTCTTACATGCACTTTGCATTTTAGAATGAGGAGCCCGTGTTTTCTAGAGATGGCACAAAGTTCTTTATGACCGTTCCTGTGAAGCAAGGGGGCCGTGGGGAATTCCATCACATAGCTATGTTCCTTGTCCAGGTAAGTGCTGGCTTCTTTCTGTGGTTTGGTTTCATTTCTGTGATGTCTCTGAAAGCCAATTCTTTTTTTGTTAGCATATAGCATACATAATAGTAAAAAAATGGGTCTCATTTGACAATTTCATATATGTATGTAATGTACTTTGATCATATTCATTCCTTTTTAGGCTCTCTTTTCTACCCGCCCCTCTCCTGCTGATCTCCTTTCTCTTCCCAAATAGTCCCTTTTCTACTTTCATGGCTTTTTTTCCTTTTAATATATATTTTACATATGAGAGAAAACAGGTGATACCTGTCTTTTTGCATCTGGCTTGCTTTGCTTAACTTGATAATTTCCAGTTCAATCCATTTTCCTATAAATAACCTAAATTCATTCTTCTTTATGATTGAATAAAACTCCATTTTGTGTGTGTGTGTATATATATATATGTATATATGTATGTGTATATATATGTATAAGTATGTATATATATGTATATGTATATGTATGTATATATATCACACTTTCTTCATTAATTCATCTGTTGGTCAGCACCTAGGCTGATTCCAGAACTTGACTTTTGTGAATAGTGCTAAAAGCCAATTCCTGTGGTGCTCTGAGCCAACAGTCAACATTGTGAGGCTCAGTCATATCTAGCTTACACATATTTAAGGAAGATGCTCCATCCACCATCCTAAGCCATAAACTGAAGTTGTACCTTCCCACAGAATAGCCTTAACACTCAATAAAATTGAGTGAGCCATACATATGTGCTCTGAACCTTGGGAAATAAAATTTAATAATGAAAAAGTACCTGACTTTCAAGGACCAAGGACAGCCCAGAGAATAGTTTTCATTCACCAAATACTCATTAATTTTTTTGTACAAGCAATATTTTCAAGATACTGTGGAAGTTTTGATGGCTGGGGATGTCGCTCAGTGGCAGAACACTTGCCTAGCATGTGCAAGGCACTGGGTTTGATACCCAATACTGAAAAAAACACTTGTGAATACTCAAAGCAAAGGTAAGGGTCCATAAATTGAATGACCTAATAAATTAAATGTATAACCACAGAAGAAAACATAATGAAGATTTTTAAAAATGAGTGTTTTTAAAGTGAATGCCTTATGTGTTATCAATGATATAAGAGGCCATTATGTTTTCTTCACATTCTGATAAAAGAAAAGGAAAATATTTTTTCTCTAAACTTCAAAGGAATTGTAAAAACTTCAAAAGGATTATTTGTTAAAAAATTCAGTAGATTTATAATTGGTTTAGATATGAGATTAATAAATCAATATGAATCTAATTTGCAATAGCAAACACTCATGAGGAAGCAAAGTATCCTCCAAAATCAAATGAAAAAACCCTACATTCACACATAAAGGTTTTTTAATGATAAACAATTATACTTAATTAAAATCTTTTTATGAGTTTCACAAATAAGTTAGCCATGAATAATTTAATATTTACAAAATATAGAATAAATATATATATGGCAATATAAATCCTCACCAACTTGGCTACTTTTAAGTTCTTAAAACCTTTAACAGTGGGCCAGCTCCTGCAATAGTTACTGTTGTCTATGTATAAATTTATATTCAGCAGCTTAATGTTTAAAACTCTGAAAACTTTGTGTCAATAGTTAAATTTTAAAACTTGTCCAAGATCTACATTATTAAAGTAATTTTCAAGAATTTAACTAATTTTAATTAAAACTGAAATAAATAACTTGCAAAGCAGAGATGTGAATTGATTTCCATAGTATATTATTAAGATGGAAAGCAGCCTAATTACTTATACACTAATGTATTCTTTGATCTCATTTATGCTCTAAATAAATGTATCATTCACATATTAATAAAGTTTTCAGTCTTTCTGTATCAAACTATCAATTTATTATATCAGACAAATAGAATCTTAAGGTAACATTTTTTTAACTATTCATTTATTCACATGTGGATACATTGTTTGGGTCATTTATCCCCCCTGCCCCCCTCCTCCCTCACTTCCAGGCAGATCCTGTTCTGCCCTTATCACTAATTTTGTTGAAGAAAAGACATAAGCATAATAAGGAAGACAAAGCATTTTTTCTAGTTGAGTTAAGGATAGCTATACAGAAAAATTCCTAGCCTTGCTTTTGTGTACAAATGTATTACAACCCAAGTTGATTCATCTCTAACTGATCTTTACAATGGTTACTGATCCCCTTCTAATGTTTCTGTATTAGTTCCTCTGGAGTGGGGACATCAAACGCTTTCATGTTTTGGGTTTTCTACCTATTCCTTTATCTCCCGTATATGCTCTCCCCTTGTCATGTGATCCAAATCCAACAACATTGCTGCATTTGCTCTAGATCTAAAGTCCACATATGAGGGAGAACATATGATTTTTTGTTTTCTGAGCCTGGCTGACCTCGCTCAGAATGATGTTCTCCTATTCCATCCATTTACCTGCAAATGATAAGATTTCATTCTTCTTCATGGCTGAGTAAAATTCCATTGTGTACAAGCATCACATTTTCTTGATCCATTTATCAATAGTGGGGCATCTTGGTTGTTTCCATAACTTGGCTACTGTGAATAGCGCTGCAATAAACATGGATGTGCAGGTGCCTTTGGAGTAACCTGTGTCGCATTCCTTTGCAAATAGCCCCAGGAGTGGGATTGCTGGATCATATTGCGGATCTATGTTTAGATTTAAGAAGCCTCCAAATTTTTTTCCAGAGTCATTGCACCAGCTTGAATTCCCACCAGGAGTGTATGAAAGTTCCTTTTTCCCCACATCCTCACAACACATGTTGTGGGTGGTGTTTTTGATGATGGCTATTCTAATAGGGGTGAGGTGGAATCTTAGTGTGGTTTTGATTTGCATTTTTAAGGTAACATTTTCTTTTTTATGTAAACTAGTAGAATCCATAGGAAATTGTTTTATAAATTTTTGCTGACTAAAAGTAAACTTTGTGATGATAAATACTAGGAAAATATTTTCATCTTTTTTTTTTTTTGGTGGTACTGGAGTTTGAATTCGAGGACTCAATGCTTGCTAGGCAGGCACTCTTACCACTTGAGCTACTCCTCCAGCCCAAATTTTATGCGTCTTAAATCTCATAAATAATTGTGGCATTTTATTAAATTGTTTAATTCCAGCATTTGATATTTCACAAAAATTACATAATTCTCAGTACTTCTATCTATTGAAGGATGGGAGAAGATGTACAATGTGTCTTTATATGTACATTTTCAAAAGAAAACAATCTTTTCAACATATTGGGAGGAGAAATTGTATCTGTTATAATTTTGGGTAGAATGATGATGTGGGCATGCTGAGATATTTACATATCCAACCACGAGTTTCCTTTTGTGCCATGGAAATAAATACCTTCTGTCCCCAGTCACACTAGCCTGACATGTAGTCTAGCCCATTATTTTTGAAGTATTCAAAACAACTTCATAAAGAGATGTGTTTGCTTTGTTTCTCTTTTATATGGGGATTTTAACAAAGCTTTCATTGAAGTAGAGAACATTTTTCTCCCTTCTGGTTGCTGTTCATAGTATTTATGGCTTGCTTCACTGAAAATGGAACACAATTGGATGGTTATTTGTAACTATTTTGGCAACTGATAAAAATTAATCTACTTTGTTAATAACTCAGAGGTCTTGGCTTAAGTAGATACAGTTCTGTTCCTGCTTTCACAGTGAAGTAGTATTCCACTCTGTCCCAAAACCAGAAAGTGAGAAATGATAGACCTGGGGGCACAGGTAACCCTGAGTCAGAGACCACCCCTGCAGAACTGGATGCTCAGCTCTGTTTGAGAGCTTCCGCGCAGAGCACACTTACTTGTTTGAAGTAGTCACTAAATGAAATTAGTAAATCTCTGCAAACATTTTGCTCTCTTACCCAATCAGTGAATAGATAAAAGCCATTACAGGCCAGCTACCAAATTGCTCTCAGGCTATTTTCATTACGGAGAGTGAGGCCTGTCATCACAAATACTTCGGTGTTTTTTTTTTTTTTTTTCCTTTCCTCTCGTTTACAGAAGCTATCCCTTGTGAAAATATTTCCAGAAAAATCAAAGAGGAAGAATTCATGTATTTCCTCAAGTCTTCTCCTTTTAGAAACAATTGTAGTTTTATATAACTTGCAGCAATACAGCCTTATATTCTGATGTTTTCCATTTAAATTTTAAATGCACAAATTACCCATAATGTTAAATAATTTTGAAAAAAATTCTTTAGAAGACTAGCGTTTAGTCTATATAGAATGCATCTACAGTCATTATTGTTCAATGTTTTATTCATTGACAATTTCTTCAAATTATAGATGTCACTGTACAAAAGTTTCTTTATATTGTGAATAATTTCTTTAATATTTATTATCAGAACAGAAATTCCTGAACCAAAAGTATTTCTATGTTCTTATATATGTTTTTTCAAATTGCTTTCATTATAAATATGTGAAAGCAAAATGTGTAAACGTTTTCTCCACTTTCATATATTCCATTAAAATATTTAAAATTCCACTACCTTTTTGAAAATTGTTAAAGCTGAAATAATTATATTTCTGAAGAATTGATCCTATGTGCTTTGCAATATTAGGCATTGAATGCAGGTTTTGTCCATCCTAGGCAAGTGCTCTACCACTTGGGCCAGCCACATCACCATTTCTTTTTGTTTTAGTTATTTTTCAGAAACAGTCTTGAACTTTTCACCTAGGCTGTCCTGGATCACAACCCTCCCGCATTTGCCTCCCACATAGCTTGATTATAAGTGTGCGCCACCATACTTAAGTGAGCCTATTCTCTTATATATGAAATTGTTCCAAGAAATTATCTGTTCTATGTATGTTAACATCAGTTTATGCACTTCCTAACACTCACACGGTGGTACTTACACTTTTGCTTACTTCAGACATCCTAACCCTTCCTTTCTCACAAAATAGTTGTCCAATAAACCTTTAACTTCTGGCTTCCCATCTCTGGAACAGTACAGTACCTCTTACAATTCAAACTACATTTAAG